TTGTCTTCTCTTGGTCTCAACCCCACAAAGTCTTGGTCTCAACCCCTCAAAGTCTTTGTCTTCTCTTGGTCTCAACCCCGCAAAGTCTTGGTCTTGGTCTCAACCCCTCAAAGTATTGGTCTCAACCCCTCAAAATCTTGGTCTCGTCTTGGTCCCAACCCCTCAAAGTCTTGGTCTCAACCCCTCAAAGTCTTTGTCTTCTCTTGGTCTCAACCCCGCAAAGTCTTGGTCTCAACCCCTCAAAGTATTGGTCTCAACCCCTCAAAATCTTGGTCTCGTCTTGGTCCCAACCCCTCAAAGTCTTGGTCTCAACCCCTCAAAGTCTTTGTCTTCTCTTGGTCTCAACCCCGCAAAGTCTTGGTCTTGGTCTCAACCCCTCAAAATCTTGGTCTCGTCTTGGTCCCAACCCCTCAAGGTCTTGGTCCCAACCCCTCAAAGTCTTGGTCTCGACCCCTCAAAGTCTTTGTCTTCTCTTGGTCTCAACCCCGCAAAGTCTTGGTCCCTACCCCTCAAAGTTTTGGTCTTGGTCTCAACACACACTGATCTTGGTCTCAACCCCTCAAAGTCTTGGTCTTGTCTTGGTCTCAACACACACTGATCTTGATCTCAACCCCTCAAGTCTTGGTCTCAACCCCTCAAAGTCTTGGTCTTGGCTTGGTCTCAACACACACTGATCTTGATCTCAACCCCTCAAGTCTTGGTCTCAACCCCTCAAAGTCTTGGTCTTGTCTTGGTCTCAACACACACTGATCTTGATCTCAACCCTTCAAAGTCTTGGTCTCAACCCCTCAAAGTCTTGGTCCCAACCCCTCAAAGTCTTGGTCTCAACCCCTCAAAGTCTTGGTCCCAACCCCTCAAAGTCTTGGTCTCAACCCCTCAAAGTCTTTGTCTTCTCTTGGTCCCAACCCCTCAAAGTCTTGGTCTTGGTCTCAACCCCTCAAAGTATTGGTCTCAACCCCTCAAAATCTTGGTCTCGTCTTGGTCCCAACCCCTCAAAGTCTTGGTCTCAACCCCTCAAAGTCTTTGTCTTCTCTTGGTCTCAACCCCGCAAAGTCTTGGTCTCAACCCCTCAAAGTATTGGTCTCAACCCCTCAAAATCTTGGTCTCGTCTTGGTCCCAACCCCTCAAAGTCTTGGTCTCAACCCCTCAAAGTCTTTGTCTTCTCTTGGTCTCAACCCCGCAAAGTCTTGGTCTTGGTCTCAACCCCTCAAAATCTTGGTCTCGTCTTGGTCCCAACCCCTCAAGGTCTTGGTCCCAACCCCTCAAAGTCTTGGTCTCGACCCCTCAAAGTCTTTGTCTTCTCTTGGTCTCAACCCCGCAAAGTCTTGGTCCCAACCCCTCAAAGTCTTGGTCTTGGTCTCAACACACACTGATCTTGGTCTCAACCCCTCAAAGTCTTGGTCTTGTCTTGGTCTCAACACACACTGATCTTGATCTCAACCCCTCAAGTCTTGGTCTCAACCCCTCAAAGTCTTGGTCTTGGCTTGGTCTCAACACACACTGATCTTGATCTCAACCCCTCAAGTCTTGGTCTCAACCCCTCAAAGTCTTGGTCTTGTCTTGGTCTCAACACACACTGATCTTGATCTCAACCCTTCAAAGTCTTGGTCTCAACCCCTCAAAGTCTTGGTCCCAACCCCTCAAAGTCTTGGTCTCAACCCCTCAAAGTCTTGGTCCCAACCCCTCAAAGTCTTGGTCTCAACCCCTCAAAGTCTTTGTCTTCTCTTGGTCCCAACCCCTCAAAGTCTTGGTCTTGGTCTCAACACACACTGATCTTGGTCTCAACCCCTCAAAGTCTAGGTCTTGTCTTGGTCTCAACACACACTGATCTTGATCTCAACCCCTCAAGTCTTGGTCTCAACCCCTCAAAGTCTTGGTCTTGTCTTGGTCTCAACCCCTCAAAGTCTTGGTCTTGGTCTCAACACACACTGATCTTGGTCTCAACCCCTCAAAATCTTGGTCTTGTCTTGGTCTCAACCCCTCAAAGTCTTGGTCTTGTCTTGGTCTCAACCCCTCAAAGTCTTGGTCTTGGTCTCAACACACACTGATCTTGATCTCAACCCCTCAAGTCTTGGTCTCAACCCCTCAAAGTCTTGGTCTTGTCTTGGTCTCAACACACACTGATCTTGATCTCAACCCCCCAAGTCTTGGTCTCAACCCCTCAAGTCTTGGTCTTGTCTTGGTCTCAACACACACTGATCTTGATCTCAACCCCTCAAAGTCTTGGTCTCGTCTTGGTCCCAACCCCTCAAAGTCTTGGTCTTGGTCTCAACACACACTGATCTTGGTCTCAACCCCTCAAAGTCTTGGTCTCGTCTTGGTCCCAACCCCACAAAGTCTTGGTCTTGTCTTGGTCCCAACCCCTCAAAGTCTTGGTCTCGTCTTGGTCCCAACCCCCTCAAAGTCTTGGTCTCGTCTTGGTCCCGACCCCTCAAAATCTTGGTCTTGTCTTAACCCCTCAAAGTCTTGGTCTCGTCTTGGTCCCAACCCCACAAAGTCTTGGTCTTGTCTTGGTCTCAACAGACACTGGTCTTAGTCTTGACTTGATCTCGGTCTTGACTTGATCTCGGTCTCTTGACTACAACACCATTGTAAAGAAGCAATCAAATACAAATAACAAATATCAAGCAGCATAGACTCACTCCACACAATGTACAACATGGAGATTTACTTAAAGTACATCAAAACTCATATTTTATTTTATGTATAGCAATACAATTTACATATTAAATAACACTATAATAGAATGCTTTGATATATCTTTCAACAAAAGAAAAAAAAGAGAGAGAAAAAAAACAAAACAAAAAAAACAAAAAACCAAGAGAAAAATTTCCTTTGTGTGTTATTCCAGATTACAAAAAGAGGATATGATGGTGACACCCACCTGCTTTGTATGGGGGAATTATTCTTACAAGAGCTATTCTATTGCACTTCTGGACTATGAAACAGATTTTATTTAGATTCAAAGGGGGGAAAACAAAGAAACACAATCACTGCCTTAGTTTATGATTGTTGTGAGTGTGTTTGGAATATGATGTCATCAGCCACCTTCTGAAGGATCTGGGGACATTTTGTGTTAACCATCAATATGAGAACTAAACACAAAACTAAAAACAAATAAAGTTGATTTATATGAAAATATAAAGTTTGCGACTATATGCCAGGATACAAAGCTTTCAGAGAGCGATGGGTTAATGAAGCAACAAAAGATATGTACATGATAATGTAAATATATTTGCAAATGCAACCCACAAATAATGTTAGGGCAAGAAAAGGGAAAAAAGGGGACACCACAGGGCATACAGGTAAGAACAGATTTAGAAATGCAGCTTGTCATCTCCAATGACCTTACGTGATGTACGGAATATCAGTCAGAATATTACCCCAAATGTTGGAGAGATATGACTTCATTTTTCGGCCTCCTTCTTAGGAGAAACAAGACATTAACAGAATAAACACCTTCAATGTTGGTCTTCTCCATCTTAACAGCATAACGATTTCCATCTTTCTAAAGCATTTCAAAAGACAAACAAAAATTCAACAGCTTTCTTCTTCAAAAGAAATCAGTAATAGTATACATTCTCATTCACTTGCAACATAAAAAACAAACAAAAATAAAGGTGACCAGTGAAACAAACATTTTTAGTGGAACAATTTTGACAAAGACAAACTAGAAAGAAAAAAGAAAAAACATAAAACATTATTTTGCCTGTGGAATCATCCTTTTTCCAAAAACATTCTTTTTAAAACTGCTTTACCCAACAATAAAAATAAAAACTTTCCCACGTGTTTCTTGAATGAAGTGAATGACAGTTTAGTCTTTGGTAAAAATTAATGAATCACGGGTCCCCTGTTTTCTTTTAAAGACTGATTCTAATGTTACTTTAGCAAGGCCTTTGTGCTGCATCCTGCATGAGAGAACAGTTTATGATATTACAGTAACCGTCTTTCCTAGCGTATCTGAGGATCTTCGATACTGTAAGAAGTCTGTTTAGTGAAGAAATGTTTAGACAGAGTCTATAGGTTTCTAGTAAAACCAGTCAATACCAAACACATACACACACCTATATCACACACACACATACACACACCTGCCGAGGTGAAATGAGACTGTACAGAAGGCATCGAGAGACTTGTATACATTATTCTCAAAGTGATGGGACGGCTTGTGACAGAGAAATATATATATAAAAAAAAGGACAAAGTAGAGGAGTATAAAATTACAAAATGAAGTGGGCAAATAACAGAATTAACTCCTACATTATGAGTCCATAGGTAATGCGTCACATGATATCATTACCTGTCCGGTTGCACTCAAGTGACACAAGTAGCAGCTTGCAGCATAAAGCAATGGAGAAATCAAACCAGCAGGGGGTGCTAGAGAAGTCAAGAGCTCTGGGGGTCCTTCAACCGAGCGCAGTGACTGTGACATTTACAAAAGCACAAGTTATCATGATATACCATATATTCATATATATTAAAAGCAGAATATGAATCATACAAAAGTTCACAGTAGCTGTTTTAATACCACCTTTTCGAAAGTAAATATGGGTTTAACTAGAAGCATAATGAATAGACTACTATTTGGGGTGCGAAAGCAAATAAACAAACCAAAACTAACAGTCCATATTACTCATATGGTCTTTCATCTGTGAATCTGACGTTTTGTGGTGAGTCTTCGCAAGTTGGATGTGGGATTAATCTCTTTTTCCAGCTTCTGAGGTGTGCGTGGAAAAGCGTTTTTCGTCTGTGGCGGTCATTTCGCAATCTTCGGAGAGCAGCTTTATTATGGAATGTCAAAACAAGGGCGTGACAGTGAGAGCTCAGGTGAGCGAGAGAGACTGACGAGGTCGAGATGCTGGGGTAGGCAGTAACACTGATAGTTTCATAGTGCAAACTAGACAGAACTGTGTTTCATTTTGTTTTGTTTGTTGTGAACTCAAAAAACGTCGGTGCAAATGTTCAGTAGGATAACATTAAGACATAAAATGGCGAAAAAATAAATATCAAAAACTTTTTATCAGTGTAAAAAAGTAATCAGGTTATTCTTTTAACCAAGAGTTCTGGCAAAAAAGGCCTCAGAAAAAGTCTGTCTTAGTCCTTGAAGTTTTACAAAGTTAGATTAAGTGCCTCTTCGGGGGCTTCAGACGAGGGACTCCATGCTTTCAGCCGGGTCCGATTCGTCAGACATGGCCATACTGCCGTTCCTGTCCAGGGACATGGGGCTGGATCCGTTCTCTTTCGTGCTTATCAGGCTGAGCATAGCTTTGTAAAGGTACTGGTACTGTTCCTGAAAAACAGAGGGAGACATCAAACATGACTATAGAATGGGGCATAGAGGGACGCTTTGGAGAAAACGAATGTTTCCTTTAGAAAACTAGATTTTTACATTTTCTGAAAGCAATAAACAAAACTAAAAAGTGATGCCTGATTTGACTAGGACGTTCTCTATGGAATTCTGGTCTGTAGATATGGCTCTGCTCCCTCCTTCTCCCTCCAGTCCAGTAGGTGGCAGAAACACAACTTTTATGTTTGTGTGTAGAAATGTTAGAAGAACATTGAACATTTCCGTCACATATTGGACTGGAGTGTGAAGTGCTGAATGGTATATGAGGGATCACAGCTTCACTGTTAAAATAATATGATCCCGCGCATAACATCCAGAAGAAAAAAATTATATTGTGGCCACAAATTAAGAACGAATGAAGACAACATTGTACTAATTCATTCTAATTCAGGAACGAATGAATATGCTGTGGGAATTAATTTTTTGGACACATTTTACTAATTTGTTTTACATCGTACAAATGTGTTGTAATTCGAGAATGAATAAGTCGTGTGAACGGATTTGTGGCCACATTTGATTAATTTGTTCCCTCGGTTTGGCCGAATCGTGACCACGTTGTACTAATTTGTTGCAATTTGGGAACAAATTAATACGTTGTGCGAACAAATTAGTGGCAACATTTTATTAATTTGTTTCGAAACAAATTAATAAAATGTTGCTACTAATTTGTTTCCAAAATGTTTTCCCCCATCAATTTCGTTTTGGTAAAAATTGTAATGCCTTATTAAGCATTAAAGTGAGTGTCAATTTACTGGCAAATTAAATTCACCCAGCCAGAGGTTCCTTTCTGTAGAAGAAATAAAGTCATTAAGGTTTGTGTGTGTGTGTGTGTGAACTAAACCTTTAAATATGACCAGTATAATTATATAAAGCTCAATATAAACACTTACAATGTCGGTAAAGACCCCTGGTCTCATGAGGTTGATCATCTTGGCCACCTGATAGACGCCCACCGCTCCTTCACTCTCCAGCTGCTGTGACAGTGTGGTGAGAGCACATAACATCCCAGCAGACACTGCACCAAACCTGTCCACACACAAACATTTACATCATAATATAGAAACTAGTGCTGTCAAACGATTAAAATATTTAATCGCGATTAATCGGATTAATGTCATAGTCAACTCGCGATTAATCGCACATTTTTATCTATTCTAAATGTCTCTTGATTTCTTTTTGTCCCATTATTTTTTCTCATTTTAATGCTCTTATCAACATGGAAAAGTGGATCGGCTTGCTTTGTGCAAATGTTTTTTATTGAAAACAACACTGGCATATACTGTGTTCAATTTCACACTAACATTCTCACTTGGAGCAAATAATCTCTCACACAGTGTAACACTGTCCATCAATAAAAGGGTGAAAGAAATACTGACGAGGTCCTGATATTGACGAGGGGGCGGAGGATTCGCATCAGTGTGTGTGTGTGTGTGTGTGTGCGTGTGCGTGTGCGTGTGTGTGTGTGTGTGTGTGTGTGTGTGCTTGGCCATCATCAAGTGGTGTTTCAGACTGGACGCGCTGCGATGATGATAGCTCAGGTCACAACGACACACAGATCACTTTGGTCTCGTCAATGGAACCATTTGGCAACTTTTTAAAAGTGAACTTTCCATTCAGAATCTTATTGGCATCCATTTCGGCGTCTCGCGCTCGTCATCCACTCAAAGCGTAACGTTAACCTACTATTTGGCCGGCTCGCAAGCCCAAACAAGTGTGTGCGGCGTGCCTGTTGTTTTGTTCCCGGTCTAGCTAGATCCGCTTTGGTCGACGAAGCAACAAAACGTCCTCGCGCGGCGCAAGCCATTGAAATGAATGGGTTTCACAGCGTAGCGCCGCGTCCTGTTGCAAAAGCATGTGAAAAAAAACTACAAAGTTTGCTAGGCCAAAAAGACCGTTAATCGCACGATAAAAAAACTAACGCTGTTAATGGGTTTGTAGTGCGATCACACTACACGCGTCCTGCACCCGAGGCCAGGGCACCGTGCGCAGCGATCACACTAGGAAAATGAACCAGACTTTTGGGGTCAAACGTCCTCCAGCACGGTTCAGATCGCCTAGTGTGAGTAAAGCCTTATAATGTGTCATATGCCAAGTTTAAAAAATATTAAACAAGAAATAAAGTGTAGGGCCCGACTTTTATTTCTATTATTGTTTCATTGACAACTGACTGGAACATGACATGTTGTGTCTATGGGGTTAAAGGATGAGGTTAAAAATGTGCGATTGGTGATGTCAAACAGGGTTTCTTAATATTATTTATATACTATTTTAGTATTTATTAATATTTAAATTAGCTTTTATTTTTATATTTTCAGTTTTCATTCAATCAATTTTAGTTTGTTTAGTAATTTTGTTATATGCATTTGTCATTTGTATTTAAAAAAAAAAAAAAAATTATTTAGGTTTAATTTAATTTTATTTCAGTTTTAAATTTTAGAGCTTTTACTTAAACTTATTTATTTCAGTTAGTTACCGAAGCAACATTTCTCATTTTTGTCCTTTGTCTTTGAAGTTTTTCAAGTTTTTAATCAAATATATATATATATAAAATCATGCAAAATATGACAAAGAATGTGCATGAGGACATTTTAGTTATTACTTTAAGACCTTTATGTTCTCATGAAACTGTGTAGTGTAGTATTTATTTATTTCAATTAAAAAAATGGAAAAAAAGAAATAAATTCAACCAAGCATCTAAATAAATAAATAAAATAATAATAATAAAATAAATAAATAAATAATTAAAACAAATAAATATAACCATAACCATATTTACATAAAACAGTGTAATTTATTCCAATTCACCAAATTCCAAAGTTCTAGTTTCTTTTTATATTATAGATTCCTTTCTATAGATCATGGTACAGGCCATTTTCTGTCTCATTTCATCTAATGTTCTTGTGCAACGTCTCCCACCATAAACACTATATATAAGTCTATGGGAATCGAATCCATTACTGTTTCTATTGTTTGACACACTAAGGTGCTGTGATCCAATTAGCTCTAACGAGTATTCCTTCATTTCAACAGACATCACATTGCAACAAAACGACTAACAATGGCCCCTTCATGTTCATTCCTTATGTTAATGTGGTTAGCTTGCCTCATCTGATAAACATGGCAGACTAATTGAGCTTTTCAAAATGTGTAATGTTACTATGGTATCACCGCTAAGAGCTTTCCAAAAGATGGCAGTCTTAATTAGCATTGCCTTCATTAGCGGTGAAGATATGCTAGTCTGTCAAATGCTCCTCCTCCAGAAGTGTTGACAGAAGCAAAGATCTGGCTCTCCTGTGGAGTTATTTCTGCGCTCGCCGTCTCCCTGGTGTTTGACAGAGAGCTACTTCTGGCTTGAAGGAATGTGAACTCTTTGTAGTCTCGAAAAGGAAGGCCTTTCGTTTCCACTCAGTGAAAATTGAGACTGCCTCCATCACATTTCTAGAAGGAGCTGAACATGAAGGATGGCCAAAAAAAGCTGACGTATCAAAAGTTTGAGAATTTGTAAGGCTGAATTTGCTTATGTCTGCTAGCGATGATAAGTGCATACATATGAAGCAAGTCACAAAACATGAAACTTTTTTGCAGTATGTTCAATTTCTGACATGCCACATACTATATCAGACAGTTAGTATGCAAATTGTGAATTCTCTCACTCCAGCCCCTAAAGCCAGAGGCGGTTATCAGGCTTTTACAGGTTATCTAAGCCAAACTGTACATTGAAAGAGCATTACTTACTCATCATGCACTATAGTGGGTCCATCTCTGGTCATGGCCTCTTCTTTGATGACGTTGATGAGCTCAAAGGTGCTGCTAATGGGAGCGTCAGGGTTTGGCCATTTGGGGCACTGAAAATGACGAACTTCTAAAACATAATCATCCTAAAGAGAGCAAGGAAGAGAGAGATTGTTTAAAAAAAGAAAAGAAAAAAAAAGTACCACCATTTCCACTAACTGTTTTCAACATAGATAATAATAATAAATGTTTCTTGAACACCAAATTATTTTCAGACACTGAAGCTTTGCCATCACAGAAATAGATTACATTCTTAAATATATTAAAAATGAAACAATATTTCACAATTAGTGTATGCACTGTATTTTTTTGATTCAATAAATGCAGCCTTGTTGAGCATAATAGGTATTAAGATGCGTTTTGGTTGATTGGATCACAAGTGGACGACGCCAAATACAGGTGTAAACGGGGTCTAAAACACTTTAAGTTTGCCCACTTTCAGATGTAGTCGAAAACGTATTTGACCGGATTGCTTTCGCAGAGTAACCGCTTATGTGGTCGAATGTGTTCAAACAGCCACAAAAGACCAACAACTGTCCGCCTACTGACCTAATGCGTAAACATTACGGGAAGAGCGCTAGCCAGACGGGATTTACACTTTGTCGGCTGAAGACCCAAGTTTGGTTTGAAGATGGAAATGTACCAAGCACAATGTTCTCTCAGCACTCCTGATTTCTAACACACACTCACAGCGTTCGGCTGGTCTTGATGCTGTAAGAGCAGAAACAAAAGCTGATGCTCTCCGGATGTTTTTCTGTCGTCTCTGAACGCGTTCAAATGTGAATTACGCGAGCTTTTCTTGTCCATTAGATCGAAAGATCTGAAAAAACACACACATTTACCCGCCCATAGACCCTGCCCTCGAAGAAATCAGGACAAAGTGTTTGAAAGTGGACAAAAGAGACGTATTAAAACTCCAGGTGTGAACGTGAATGAGTCTCCCTCGTCCACTTGTGATCCGATCGACCAGAACACATCTTAATACCAGGTGTAAACAGGGCCATAGACTTCCTTCAGAAACATTAAACATCTTACCGACACAAAACATTGAAAGGTAGTGCATATTAATAATTATTTAATATCAATTATAGTTAAATATAATTAATGATATTATAATAAACATGCGAAATTAATTTTACAATATTATATTATATACACAGTAACATAATATTAGACGAAATACATACAATTGTTATTTATATATTCTACACAGTTTCAATCCACATCTTTTCCTCCAAACACAGACCTGTGTGGCCTCCAGGATGAAGTCATGAATGATGATTTGCTCTTCATTGGAGAGACAGAGTCTGTCTTTACTGATAAGCGTGACTGTAAACGCCTCGCAGTTCATGGCTTCCTCTCGACTCGGCCAATACACAAACTCATCCTCCGCCTGCGGGAGCACACGTGAGTGAGCATCAGCACAGAGTAATCAGAGACTTCCAGAAAGACTGATGCTCTTACAACCAATTCCCATAATTCCCCGCTCAGACATCAGCTGACCTCGAGGAGCACAGCCTATAACATTAACTTGAGCTCCCATCACTCAAGGCAACAGCGAACTCTACAGAAGCTCCTGAATACCCACCAGGCCCTGGTTGTCTGGTAACATGACGATGATTTGAGCGTTGTGGTCCCAGATCATCCTCCAGAAGTCTTTAGTGGTGTGAGGCAAGGGATGCTGGGTAATGATGAACTCATTGCTCCGGCAGTAGCCCTAGTAGTAGTAGTAAGAAAACGTTCAAAAAACAAATGGACCAATCAATTATTTTAGCTTTCAGTGTACAACAGGCAGTATTTAGTTAGTTCATTTCAGTCACTTAAACAATAGCCTTAAGGCTTAGGATATCACTAATTAGTAGTTAAAAATGCTTAACTACAATGTGAAGTCCTGTCCTGTCATCTTAACTGTCACCGCCCCGTATACGGGACGCCTAACTTTACTTCGCTATATTACTATTAAATCCTAATCTACTTATGACAAACTATATATGGTTGGAAAGGTCTAAGACTCCTAAATAGATATTTGACTGCTGTTTTTTTGCTACAAATTATGTAGGAAGAGTAACCGATGAATTTTTGACAAGAGTGCACCTCAAAAAAATCTGCATCATAACAGGAGTTCTGACCTTTGTCACAAAAATTTGACGCACACACCTTTAATAATTGAAACTTTGGTTTTCATGCTAAAAGTTCATTAATAAAACATATAATCTAGTATTTTTCAATAAAAAATTATCATATAATATTATCCTCTAAAAAGTATAATATATATATATTATCCTCTAAAATATAATATTATCTTTTTTATCGCCTTTTTTTATTACATCACATGTTTTAGTAGTTATCATAAATTAGGTATCATTTGAAAGCTTACAAACTCAGATTTCATCCTGTGAAAACAATTTTGAAATTGAACGTTGCGAAACGGTACTCTAAATTATTTTATCAGGCTCCTCCCCTTTTGGGCATCATTATATTTCATAATTTATGATCAAAACCTTTTCTAATCCTGACAAAACACATATTGACAGAAAGGTCTGAGTCTCAAGGTTCCAGATTTTGTGACAGAATTGATATTTGGACAGAAATGTATTAATTTGTTAAGGCGGAATGTGTACAACTAAATTCAATGGAATGTATGTCACCCGGTGGCTATTTTTGGTACTACGCCTAAACAAAATCTCGTGGGAACTTAAATTTTTTGTGATATCAACTTCAAATTTGGAACACAACTTGGTTAGATATATGGCTTTGATTTTACAGTAATTTTAGAGTAAAAAATATTTAGTAAAATATGTATTTTTTATAAAATAAAAAATATATAGTACAGTATATTTGATTTACTGTAAATTTAAACTTCCATAACTTTTTCATACTTTCATTTTTTGAAGTGTTTTCACTTCACTTCAGCAAAAATCTGCTGAGTGTTACTTTTAAAACAAGACCAAACTTGGGTCTATATTCCAAAGCATTCTTGAATTACAACCATTTTGAAGTTTGAATAGTGCATTTTAACCCCCATTCTCAAAAAGGGGGGTGACAGCGAAGGGGTTAAGCCACGTATAAACCCTTTTCTATACCATTTGAAAAAAAAGTGTGCACAAAACCAGTGCACAGTGCAACATTACATCAAATGTTCATTCTTACAACCGTGAAACAGATTTTCCCAGAACACCGAGTGCTAATTTGAAATCCAGTACAGGTTAATGTTTAACTGTGGGGGGGTGTTGAGTACTCACCATTATATAAGACGCATTGATGTAATCAGTGCCTTTCATTCCAGGCAACGGTGCGAGACCAACTCGTGCTCGTTCCGCTGAGAGGGACAAAAACAGCCAATCAGGATGCAGAATAGGAGCAGGTCAGGGATGTGATCTCATTAGCTCAAACTGTGTTTGAAATATGTGTTGCAATTTGGATACTAGAATATTAGTAAAGATAATTATCATAAAGGGCCAAGGTATGAGAAAAAGAATAAAAAAGACACCACAGTACACAATAAGCAATAAACCAATTGATTGTGCAATTACATTTAGGTGGCATCAGCTGCTTTAATGCTAATAAACCTTAATTGTCTTCCATATTTTAGTTTATGTTACTCACAGGGGACAACAGAAGAGTTGCGGTTCTTCTCTTTGTTGCATTCTTTCTGAGCACTGAAGCACTCCACAAATCTTGCATTGCACTGAGTCACCAACTGTACATAAAGGAAGAATTATATTTTGTTCTTTATTTCAAAGTAGCAGGAATACATCACATAAGACAAAGCCGACCTTTAGAATTCAACAGGAAGGAAATATGTCCAGTTGCAGTCTATGTACCAGACACAGAGAATTTCAGGGCTCAATAAACAAAACAAAAACCAAAAAAGGAAAAAGAAAAAAAAAAAACCCAAGGAAAAAAACAACAACAACGAACTGAACCGTTTTATTTTTAACAAAACATAAGATTTAGTTAAAACACAAAACAAACAAAACAAAAGATTCATCCAATCTTTGTAACTCGCATGCCCCGCAGTCGTAGCCTACCAAAGAAAACATGATGAGGATTTATATTCAGGTTTTAAAGCCAAACCAAACAGAACCATAAAAAGTCAGAATTTCAAGGCTCAATAAAACATTTGATAAATTCATGAAACTCGAGCAGAGCACATATCACACACTTTACCCACACAGAACCTGTCAGACTTGGGCTGTAAGTCACAGTGTGCAAACCAGGTATGAAATGATGAAGTATTAAGCGATAAAAGTGAACCAATTTCATTCAAAATTCTTCTCCGCATAAATGTGCATTAAAAATATCTTCTGATATGCTAAAATTGTATCGCGCATAGCAGTTCTGCAATCAGCTTGGACGGAAATGGCTTGTCAAAATGCCTTTGCATAAGGAAAGAGACAGTCCCCACCTTGAACTGCTTCTCTAGTCGTGTTTTGGCCCCTGGCCCCGGCGTCAGGATGCTGTTGACGTAACTGTGCAGCTGACCGGAGGGCACCTCGGTTTCCTTACCAAGAATGGCTTCCATCAAGGCATCGTGGATGAAAATATACTGCTCCTAAACAGCAGAGAGCTTAATAAGAGACGTGCTAGATGACACAAACAAGCAGGACAGATTTGGACTGCTGGCTCACCTCCGTTTGGACCAGGTAGTTTCTCTGAGTTCGTATATGTTTGAGGAAACCCAGCACATTGACTGAGCCTTTATCCTTCAGCTGTTGTAGCATGCTGTCAATCACAATGTAAGTTCCTGTCCTGCCCACACCAGCGCTGCGGAAAACACATGAATAACATGTAAAACTGCTCTCTTTAGCCATTAAATGAGGCAGTGGAAGTGTGTGTGTGTGTGTTACCTGCAGTGTACCAGCATGGGGCCCATCTCTGGAGTCTGTGCGGCAGAGGACCTCCTGACGAAGGTGAGCACAGGTAACGTGTACTCGGGGACACCCATATCCGGCCACTGAGTGTAGTGATACTGCAGGACTGTTCTCTCACTCTGACGGCCCTTAGTGTTTCCCTTCTGACCCTGCAAACACACACAGACCAAAGTCTCACAACTACACATGACTCTTCAGCGTGAAACGACAAAGAAGAAGAAGAACACAGACGTCTGCTGTTTTTAAAATAATCCAAATTGAGAAACAAAACAAATCGAGACACAAAAAGCAAAACAAAACAAAACAAAAAAGACACCCCCCCAAACCCCCCCCCCCCCCCCCCCCCCAAAAAAAAAAAAAAAAAGACAACCCCCTCCAAAAACAAAAACAAAGTAAAAACAAACAAACAAAGCAAAGCAAAGCAAAACAAACAACCCCCTCCAGGATACATGCTAAACTGACATTGCATTTCATATTTACTAACCAAAGCCTTATTATATTTGCAACACTGACCCATTTATTAAAAAAAATTATACTAGTGAGAATTATCCCTTAAGTCAGTTATTTTTTACTACATTTTTGAGGATATTTTCAGAAACTTGGCCCTAGCAAGTAGCGAAAAAAGGATGCTTTTGCGCAATTGTATCTGACAGTCATTAAACCCAAACACCAGATTAATAACTATCTTCAAATAACCCTTACTTGACATTCAAACTTGCAGTACTGAAGCCTGTCAGCTTTTTTAAAACCATACATTACCATACATGCACTTTTCCTTGTGGCATAAAAAAATTGTCACCTAAGCTCAAATCTAACAGGCTGCCATAAAAAGAGCCTTATTTCTTTGCCACCGGTGGCCTTGGTGTGACTGCGTATTATGAAGGAGATTTACAGAGAAAGCAGATCACTCTCACTGACGCTGTGAAGGCCAGGACCTGCATAAGCTCCTTAAGACTTTTCTCTCTGGCTTTTAATGCTCAACCACAATCCTTCACACAGGTCAAACCATGCATAATTACTATTAGATGAGTGCCTTTTCCAGTTTGATGAGGTGATTTTAAAATGGATGTTTATAAAGCTATATCTATCTGAATAATAAACAAAGATTGTTTTTAAGTGTTAAATGGCATTGTGTAACAGGGGAGCAAGGACGGCATGAGGAGAAGAGGAACTAATGCAGGATATTTAACAAGCAAAGCAAACAGGAACCGAGGAACACACAGGGCAGGAACACTACAAACAACTGACAACCCAACACACCAAACACTGGGGCTTATATTCACAGGGACCTGGATTACCAAGACACAGGTGAGAACAATGAGGGACTAATATGGGGAACCAAGAAACAGTTTATCAAACTATATATCAAACACTGAATACATAAAAGAAGAAACAACTGATATGACACATTATACCATCTCAAGCTAAATGTACTTTAATTGAGAACTTAGGACCCCTCATGAAGGAAAAACAAATCAAAACAGGGTAACAGGTTTGACAGTTTAATTTAAAGGCACAATATGTAGGTTTTTTTCGCCACAAGAGGGCGCAGTTTCCTACAATAACAAAGGCGTAGGTTGATGACGCAGTGATGAGCTGAATGATGGGACTTGCTGTCAAGCTGTTGGATCTAATAATGTTTATGGATGAGTGCAAACATTCATGTTTTTTAACATTACAGTGGTATGAAGCAGGTCGCGATTGCTATAGAGACAGATATCACACGCGAGTCCCGCGGATATAAAGGAATTAGGACATTTAATTCTACCGAACCCGCGAGTGCTGGATTACTCACACAGGTCAGCTTATTAGACAAATTAAACTTGTGAGGTAACGCAGCGCTGCTTCACACGGTCTAACATTACACTATCACACTAAACGGCATTTAAATGTGTGTTGAAAGTTATAATGTTATTCTACGTGTTAGTTCGTTTGCTATACGAAACTAGCAGTAAGCTAGATCAACATTAGAATAACATACTGACCATATTCTAACATTTCATCATGTTTAGCTGTTATATTACATTGATTTGTTTTATGTACATTAGCTCACCTGTCTAATAAAGCTGTCGTGACTCGTGAAGTTCTGTCGAGTCCAAGTTAGTCGCGGACGCTAGCTCTCGGCATCTCAAAAACACCACGCTGATGTTGATCCTCATTTTAGTTCTCCTTGTCTGTCCCAAAGTCTGCTCGCCATGGTCTATGTTTGAAAGAAACAAGAACTGCGTGCCGCTAAACGTTACGCACTACGCAGTTGTCCACGTCTGTCGCCATGGTTACATCATGGATATGGCAGTACGAGCGTAAACCGAGGATAGCGCGAGATTGCGTCATTGACAGGCGAGTTTTATTTCCCGGATGGCCACTTATTTAAAATGGGAATTTCTCTGAAATAAAAAATCTTTGGAGACTTTTGGGATATTGTAAGTACACAACTGCAGGAAATATATCACACTGTGCAAGTGATTTTTGGATATTTTAGTACAAAATTCTTACATATTGTACCTTTAACACACATTTAACAAACAAGTCTTGTGGTCAAACTTGTGAAACTATAAGGTGCTTCATAGAGTCTAAATCATGGTAACAAGGTTTTCAATGTTTAAATGTAAGGGCAGGCGATGTTTTTCATAAACACTTTTTGTTAAACTGGCTGAAACTCTCACAGCCTGATAGCAACCAATAATGGAAGTGGTCTAAATATATATATATAAAAAATACATATATCTTCTGTGGAAGTCTCAGGACCAAAAAATTTTTTTCTAATCATTGCATTCGGTTAAAAAACAAAAATAATTGACGTTTACTGCGTTAGACTAAACTGGGACTGGTCACAGCACTTGCATATTGTTGTCCTATTGTTAGTTTCACTGCTTCTATTGCTCTCATCATTTGTAAGTCGCTTTGGATAAAAGCGTCTGCTAAATGACTATTGTATGTAAATGTACCTGCCTGTCAACCTATGTATTTCCATTTTATGTTCATCAAATTGAGTATTTGCTAATAGAACAAGGAGAGGTTGGAAATACATGGGTGGGGAAAGGTAAAAAATGAATACTGGCTTTTTGTTCATAGCGTTTCAAAAATTGTCTATATTAACCAATTAACCAAAAGTTAATTGGTTAATTAACTTAAAAAGTGATTTTTTTAAACGTACGTAGTAAATAATGGCACCCATTTTGTTGAATGATCCATTTTATGATCAGTGTGTTTTTGGTAACGCTTCATTTTACAGTACAGTACTTACGTGTACTTACCTAGAAAGTACTGCTAATATAAGGTAAGTACATGGGTTAGGGGTAGGTTCAGGGTTAGTACCTAGTTATTACCCAGTAATTGTAATTACTATAATACGTATATAGTAAGTACATGGGTAACAGGACTGTAAAAGGAAGCGTTACCGTGTTTTTTTGGTTTAAGTAGCGTGAGAGAGGCAGGCGAATTGAAAAATGGTTACCTTCTTTACTTTGGTGTTTCTGATAGTGAAGATGCGGAGTGTGTAGCACGCCATAACTTTGGTTCTCTTCAGCGTCACCACAATATTACCATATTCCTCACTGTTCTCTGTCGGCCAATACTGGTCGCATTTTCTCTGTGAGATGCACACGAAAAGGGGACACGTTTAAAGAGGCCATATGGAACGAATGATTGTTAATTGTAATGGTTGTCATAACTCACTCTGCCTTTCTCCACCAGGTTAGTGATCATGACTATAATGCCGGTGTTCTGTTCCCACACCATCCGCCAGAAGTCTTCAAACGTGGATTTGAGAGGACCCTGAGCGGCGACGTAGGCCTTGGGTTTATTGTAGCCCTGTAGAGGAGAGAGATACAGAAATATACATCACACACAGTCAAGTTATTCCTCACAGCTACTGAAGCCCTCACATCTGCAGACATCACTCACATCCACATAGTTGGCATTGATGTAGTCACTGTGTTTGGAGTCTTTGCCTGCCAGAGGCCTGAGCTTCACTCGGCTGTGGTCGTCTGGAGGAAGAAAGAGAGATGGACAGTGAGAGACACGTCTGATGTCTGACCTACAGTCAAAATATGGATGCAAACATGCAAACAAAACTGTGGAAACATTATGACCAAATATTGCCTCCAATGAAGCACAAAATGCTCACATTCTCATAATATGTAAGATAACAAGATCCTCATCATGCAGCTTCTGTCATTAAAGCAAACGGGACAATGCTGGAAATGTACAGTGCTTCAAACATTTGGGAAGATTTGTTTATGTTTTTGAAAGAAATCTCTTAAGTTTACCAAGGCTGCATTTAGTTGATCAAAAGCACAGTAAAAAAACAATCGTATTTTGACATATTATTACAATTTAAATTGAATGTTTTCTATTTTAAAATGTATTTATTCTTGTGATCAAAGCTGATTTTCAGCATCATTACTCCAGTGTTCAGTGTCACATGATCCTTCAGAAATCATTTTAATATACTGATTTGCTGCTCAAGAAACATTTATTATTATTATCAATGTTGAAAAGAGTTGTGCTGCTTCATATTCCTGTGGAAACCATGAAACCATTTTTTTTTCAGGATTCTTTGATGAATTGAAAGTTCCAAAGAACAAGATTGATTTGATACAGAAATCTTTTTTAACATTATAAATGTATTAACTGTCATTTTAGATCAAATTAATGCATCCCTGCTATAATCAAATTTGTAGAGAGATAGAAATAGAAGAATTTTCACAGGTGGCCTCAGACTTTTGGACCCCTACCGTATGTGTGCATTTCATAGAAAGACTCACAGGCTATGATGTTGATGTATCTGTTCTTGTGCTTGTTGTCCGGATGATTGGAGTGTTCTGATGTGATCTTCATGTCTGCCGTGCAGCGCTGCACTTCCTACAACACACACACACACACACACACACACACACATCTCATTTTCATTTTTTTCATCATACAAAAAACTCTTTTTCATACACATAACATTTACAGAGCAGGAAAGAAAGAAATGTAATTTCCCCCAAAACTCAAACCAAGTGGCGTCTGCAAACAAATGATCCTTTAAGCTTTTACTTTTTTTTTTAACAAAAAAGGTGATTTTCAGTGTTCCTCAAGTTCACATAGATTACCACCGGTGAAGTTTACATTTACATTTATTCATTCATCAGATGCTTAACAAGTGATTCATCTAATAGAATTTATGTAGATGATGTAGTCCAACACATTAACGACTACATGAACCTAAAAGTGATCAAATACTTTTTGGATTCATTTTGATTGTTTTTATAATTTGCTTTTACAGTTTGTTCTCTAATACAATGATATTCATGCATTGTTACACGTGACATACAATTACTGTGCATTTACACAAATTGTCTCTAGTTTGCAGGGATCATGCAGTTCAGCACTGCCATCATCCTGAGGCTGTTAACAGATCTCTCAATAAACACATGACGCAGTCTGTTAACAACCAAAACCTTGAGACGTTTCAGTGACGTACCAGAAAACAGGAATTGGCTGCGTGTGCATTAGTGTGTGTTTGTATAGCGTTTGGAGGGTGTGTGGACACGGCCGTTTAAAACCACGAGATCTGCCAGGGGCTGTTCTCAATGACTCTCTCCTCTGCACACACACACACACACACACACACACACACACACACACACACACACACACACACACACACACACACACACACACACACACACACACACACACACACACACACACACACACACACCTGTGTGGTTTCTGGTTACCTGCACCTGAACTAACCCCCGCTCACATTCTGAGAAGAGCTGCTCCTTCACACAAGCTCTCAGGATAAAGTCAGCATTTATGTGAGGATGGTCAGTTCTGTTCATGTGACCTGTGATGTCATATGTGATGTAACCCATTTTACTTCCTTCAGTGAAAAAGTATTCAAAAAGAAAACAGTTACATTGGGAATTGATTGGATGATGAAAAGTGTGCTTTCCATTATCTGAATGCAAAACAAGTAAACCGCAAAGCCTGCTGGGAAATGAGACGTGAACTAGACGAGGAGGCTGAAAGTCCAGTTCACCCTGAGAACATCTCGATGTACAGCATCACATGAAGAGAACATCAAGACAACAGAGAAGTTTGTGTTTATTGACCAAATGTCCTTGTTAAACTGTACAATTCAGTGTCAGGAAATGAATGTAATGTTATCTTAGTAAATATCAAATATCTGTTTATTGATTTGTTGATGTCTGTGAATAAATGTCCTATTTCAAAAACTCTAGAATGGGTTAAAGGCATTTTTATTTGGAATAATTTAATCAGTGTCTGGTGCTGAGGGTTATGTGGTACAGGAAATCTTACATCTTAATGAACAAATTCAATCTTATATATGAATTCAATCCTCCAAATTATAATGATGTGCTTGGATTATTTGTATTAATTAAGCAAAAGATCAAAACAAGACATTGTTTGTATAGTATTGATTACTGACGTCCATACAGCCATCTTCCGTTTATTAACATTATAAGAGCACCTGGGAACTAAACATTGTTAGCGTATTCATTATTTGCTATTTACTATTCCATTAACACTGACCAGAATAAGATTCAATTGTTTTTTGTTGCTAAGACATTAGAAAGGCTGTATATTACTTACAACAACAGTCTAAAATAATTTCTAAATATCTATTTGGCTGTGCAGTTATTATGTTGTCAGGCTATTATATTATTTGGTAATTTTACCTTATTAAAATATCAATTAAATAACATCTTAAAAGAGTTGATATTATCATAAAAGAGGCTGAGGAACCATTCACATTTTTATAAAAGACAAAAATGATTGATTTTATGTTTTGTCTTACAGCATTAAAACTAAATAAATAACACAAAACTACAATTAAACTACAGAAGGAAATAAGCATGTCCTCCAGTGTATTTCTCAGACTCGGTCTTCCTCTCTGGTGTTCTCCATTCACTCTTCTCTCCGGTTTCAGCTGAATGCCAAACTTCTCCAAGTGTCCTCTTGCTTTTTTCCCTTTGAGTCCCCCCCCCCCCAAACTCTCATGCCCGGGCCGCATATAATCCCTGTGCCTGTCCAGGCCAAGCCCCCCCCCCCCCCCCTCCTCCTGGCTCCCATGATCACTGCCACCCCAGCCAGTGCTTCTTGTTTCGGCCCCTGTTGCACAAAGCCACTTGTCAGGGGCCTGGGGGCTCCGTCCAAAGGGGGTTTGGCTCAGCTGTCCCCCCTCTTCTTCTCTGCTCGAGTCGTGGAGGCGAGAGAGAGGGGTCAGGAACCACAGAGGAATCATTGAGGGGAAACAGCGCCAGAAACCCCCCTGGAACCACTTCCCCATGTCCATCAAGCCCACATGAGCGCGGGCACACACTTTCTGAGGAACAAAGGGGCCAAGGCCCTCAGAGGAACCCTAGCGGCCCACACACCTCCCCTTCTCTCCTCCACTCATTCTCTTCTCCGAACGAGGGAAAGTAGAAGACCTACTTTGAAACTAAATGCAAAGATTTTCCTTTCCATTTTGACAAACACAACAGACATAAGCTACATTCACACAGTGTTCTGGACTGTACTTACTAACAGGTGCGTGGCAAAAACAATAGGGCTGTCAATCAATTCAAAGTTTTCTTTGATATTTTGATTAATTAAACAAATATATTCTGAAAAATGAAGGTGCTTAAAAATAAAACATGCTTTTAATTTAATTTAAACTTCCGAAATGAATTTTTAAGTATATAATTGTTTTAATTTTTAATGTTTTAAATATAAGATTAACTTTGAACTAAACTACTTAAAGAGTTTTCCAACCTATCAAAGCAAGCTATTAATAATGTAATTAAGTTAAGTTACGTTACGTTAAGCTATGTTAAGCAAAGCAAAGCTAAGCTAAGCTAAGCTAAGTTAAGCTAAGTTAAGTTAAGTAACTTCCAAAATGAATTATTAAATATATATTCGTTTTAATTTTTTATGTTTTAAATATAAGATTAACTAAACTAACTAAAATTAGCCGGGCCACATATTTAAGCAAAATCTGTATAATTTATACATAAAGACATGATTTTACAAATAAAAATTAGTATAAAATCATGATTTTTAAAAATAAAATCTGAGTATTTTTGCACCCACATAATCTCAATATTTATTATAAAATAAAATGAAATGAAAGAATAAATAAATCATTAAGCAAGCTTGTAAAAATAAATGAAATGAAATAAAAATAAATAAAAGCAGGTAGTGTTTGTGGTGCATACTTTCAACTGAAGACCGGCTCAGATTGTTTCGCTGAACTGCTTATATTTAAATCATTCATGATTGGTAAAAACAATCAATTTTGTCTACGACCTCAAACATTTGTCAACGCATCTGAGTAAAAATGTAGTAATGTGTGCACGGCCAAAGCTAGACCTCCAGAACATCAGGATACTTCAGATTCCTGATCCACAGAGGACACAATAAACCCAGCATGTGTGTGTGTGTGTGTGTGTGTGTGTGCGCGCACAGCTCTGACCTGCAGGCGATCATCGGTTGCCAAACATTTGAGATCGTTCATTGATATTCACCTGTGCAACTGAAAGCACCAGCAGACGCTGTGGCCCGAGACTCAATGGTTAACTAATTACCAGTCATCCTTGTACAAACTGCCATCACATTAGTCAGACAGAATGTTGTTGTGGTTTTCTGGCTTCTGCGCCGCACTAACACACACACAGCAGAGACAGGCCAAACTCGGTGTGAAAAAGATGCCAGCGTTCAGATGGCCTAATTCATTCTCACACAGGCTGAGTTCAACTGGCTTGTCCTGTACAGCCAGCTGCCAAAAACCAACATCTGCACGAGCTGTTCTCAGACCTGTCAAACAGAAGCACTGCAGCGAGGCCGAGGAACCACACGAGCTGTTCTCAGACCTGTCAGCAGAAGCACTGCAGCGAGGCCGAGGAACCACACGAGCTGTTCTCAGACCTGTCAGCAGAAGCACTGCAGCGAGGCCGAGGAACCACACGAGCTGTTCTCAGACCTGTCAACAGAAGCACTGCAGCGAGGCCGAGGAACCACACGAGCTGTTCTCAGACCTGTCAGCAGAAGCACCGCAGCGAGGCCGAGGAACCACACGAGCTGTTCTCAGACCTGTCAACAGAAGCACCGCAGCGAGGCCGAGGAACCACACGAGCTGTTCTCAGACCTGTCAGCAGAAGCACTGCAGCGAGGCCGAGGAACCACACGAGCTGTTCTCAGACCTGTCAGCAGAAGCACCGCAGCGAGGCCGAGGAACCACACGAGCTGTTCTCAGACCTGTCAGCAGAAGCACTGCAGCGAGGCCGAGGAACCACACGAGCTGTTCTCAGACCTGTCAGCAGAAGCACCGCAGCGAGGCCGAGGAACCACACGAGCTGTTCTCAGACCTGTCAACAGAAGCACTGCAGCGAGGCCGAGGAACCACACGAGCTGTTCTCAGACCTGTCAGCAGAAGCACTGCAGCGAGGCCGAGGAACCACACGAGCTGTTCTCAGACCTGTCAGCAGAAGCACTGCAGCGAGGCCGAGGAACCACACGAGCTGTTCTCAGACCTGTCAACAGAAGCACGCGCGAGCGAGGCCCGAGCGAACCACACGAGCTGTTCTCAGACCTGTCAGCAGAAGCACTGCAGCGAGGCCGAGGAACCACACGAGCTGTTCTCAGACCTGTCAGCAGAAGCACCGCAGCGAGGCCGAGGAACCACACGAGCTGTTCTCAGACCTGTCAGCAGAAGCACTGCAGCGAGGCGAGGAACCACACGAGCTGTTCTCAGACCTGTCAGCAGAAGCACCGCAGCGAGGCCGAGGAACCACACGAGCTGTTCTCAGACCTGTCAACAGAAGCACTGCAGCGAGGCCGAGGAACCACACGAGCTGTTCTCAGACCTG